CATTTATCCTCGTGGATGTAGTCTGTCGCTGCTATAAAGCCTCTCTGCTCCAGCTTTTTTATTGATTCTTTCCCTATTGGGCTCTTGTTGTTTTGACTGAATCAACAGAGCAGTGTTCTGTTCTCATTCATGATTTGTCTGCAACATTAGGTGTTTGATCATTTTTCTCTCTTCTCCTTCTTAATATCACAGAGACTACTCCTTCCAACTGGTCTGACTTCTTTCTTCTACTCTTTCTCCTGTCTTTCAGGCTCTTGTCTGGCTTGCCTAGTCCGCTGTGCTTTGGAGACTACTTCTGTGGCTGTGGTTAGCAAAACTTTGAAAACAAACCTCAAACGCTCGATCTCAGCCTTTAGCTGTTGGTTTCATTTCATCAGCTTTCCTTTAACTCTTCCCTCTAACCTCTTACTTTGTTGCAGTCTGTCCTAAAAGGTTTTTTCTTTTCTCTCTAGATCTTTCTCACCACATCCTCTCACTTTCACCACAGATGATTGTACTATCCTTTCCAGTGCCTCAAATTTTGCTCTCCTTCTAGTTCTCCTTTTTGTAGCCAGCGCTTGTCTGACTTCCATCTCTTATCGCCAGATCCACATTTGTAGCTTCCAGTCCAAAACCTACATGCCTGTCTGTTATCTTTTGCCTTGATATAACCTCCTTCTGCCTCAGCCACCTTCTCCCCTTCTCCGTTCTCCGGAGATCGAGATGGATCTGGGTTGTCCCCACAGCCCCCGAGGGCTGCACCGAGGGTGAAGGTGCAGCTCCACAGCCTCGCTGGCACTGCAGGCTCACACAGGCTGAGCACCTGGGCTGTCACAGTGCATCAGCTCACCACTGTCCCTTAGGCTGTCTAAGAATGACAAATGGATGTATGCTGCTCTGATTGTAAAGAACTAAGTATCAAATGCTGTTATTCAAAATGCATTTGCGGCCTGCCCCAATGTTAAACGTATCAAAACCATAATACAGTTGTAGTTGCTATTCTTTTTGCCATATCCAGCACGCTGGTAATTTGTAGATCAGTGGTCTCTTGTACCATGCTTACTGCTCACCATTCCTGATCTTCTAAGATTTATGTACAGACTTCCCCATTCAAATTCAATTATTAATCTAATAAGTTGTAACAAAACAATAGAGCTCATGTATTTAAACTGCATTGTCACATAATAGTTGTGCCTAGGGAACTGGCCTTCTTGGATACAATGAATACTGTGGCCTACAGCTGTTTCCTTCTAAATCTTGTTTTAAAATGTTTGCAAAAGTCTGTATTGTGATATCCCAGTCTCGTGGCTTTAGAGGACTCATGAAGTATTTCTCATACTATAGTGAGACAGACTGAACTCTGATGTTCCTCATGGTATCTGACTATAGTTTTCACTGACACCTTCCCCACTAATCACATATCTGTATTTCACAGAACATTAGTTAAGCTAAAAATTAAACACAAGTCCCAGAGATTGCATTGTGGCTACATTAAGAGTTTCTGGAGAGCATCCCATTAGGTTCTCAGTGCACTGCAGCCTTAAGATCTAATCATTGTCCCTCTTTGGATTAAAAGGAACCCAAATAAATTGTTATCCTAATCTGTGTATGATCTTACAATATTTGACTTCCTGTAGACACAATCAGCACCCTGTCAAGTGTTCCCATAGCAAAAGTACATTTGCAGAGAAATAAGCCAAGTAATGGACCTGACAGGATGAGCAACCACTTCCTTTTGCATAGATACTTTGTACACTTAAGGGTGCCATGTGACTGTGTCAGTGGAAAGTTCAAAATGAAGCTTTTTTTTTCTGTTTTTTTCTTTTTTTGTTGTTTTTTTTTGTTTGTTTGTTTGTTTGTTTTTGTTTTTGTTTTTTTTTTTGTTCTCACAAGAGAATATACAAGAGAGGGATTTGGATTGATGCAGAGGTGGCAATTCACTTAGGGCTTTGCTTGTGTTGTAACATGGATTCTCACAGTTTGGTTCTGTGTAAACACTGCTGGGGTCCAGGGCTTGAGGTGCACCTTTGCATTCACCTCTTGGGTGCATGGATAACATTCATAAATGCACTACGAGAGAAATAGTTCAGTAGTTTGTGTTGGAAAATACTGTATTTTCAACCTTTTTACTGTTAACACTGTAAATACTGTGTTAGCTCAAGTTAATGGCTTTTAAAGTGGTTATGCCACTCTGAATTATGCCATTGCTGTTTTCATCATTTTTGAATTTGTGGTTTTGTAATGTGTCATAAAACATATCTAAATAGTCTTAGGGCCTCTGCTGGTTTTTCTCAGATAGGATATGGCATAATGCCTCACTTGGTTCCCTAAATACTTTGCATGCTTGCAACCAGAGCTGGCTTTTAGGTAACAAAATGCTGGAACCTCACGAGGGGCAAGATATGTTCTGTGCTGTAGGCTGTGATCTCTGTGTTCAGTGGCCAGTTTGATTTGAATGGGCCCAGGATTTCACCCTGAAACCCCAGGCCAGGGAAGCCATTGAGAAGCTGTAAAACACAGCTCTAACCTTCATGAATAATTCTTTCTGAAGTGAGTGCTGGCACTGCCTGGGACAGGACTGCTCCCGTAAGCAAAGATGATTTATGCAGGATATAAAATCATTCTTAGACCAGATCCATGAGACTGGATTTATAACTTCATAATGATCTGATCTTGCTGCAAGAATCACCCAGTCTATGGGTCAAACTGTCAAAGAAATCCCTGGGAAGATCTCCCATGAGAGGGATAACTATAGTGTGTTCCTACTCCTCCTGGGCTGGATTATTTCTGGGTTAAACCAGCCCCCTACTCCAGCAGAGTTGTGGGGAGGAGCCTTGTCCTCATCTTTGGGTACCAATTTGGGAAACAGCTTGCATTGACTTATTTCCATACATGTGTATTATAATGTGGGTTTAGGATATGAAAGGAAGGGATGCTTATCCCCCCTTCACTTTTAGTGAACAGTTTGCTTGTGGTTTGCAGCATTGCATCAGCAATGTGGTCACATATAGAATAGTAAAGTGACTGTTTTTACAACAGTTTCCCTTCTGTCTCTCTCAGGAAACCAGCAAACAGTACTAAACCTTCTGCAGAAATACCAGGATTGATTATAACAATGTTCTGGAGCTTGCTTTTGGTGTTAGTCATGCCACTACATCAGGAGGTGTTATAAATAAATAAATTAAACAAAACAAAATGTGACATGTTTTCTGCCTTCTAACCTGTAGAAGGAAAATGTGCATGGAAATCATTCAGCTCAGCCTATGTAGGTGGCTTTGCATTCAGTTTACAAGCCATAATCAAGCCTTATTCAATCCAACTCTGAGTGGTCTTGAATTGCTTAAACCAATTATTAATTCATATTTTTTATTTAGGGATCTCTCTGTGGCAGGTCTTTCCTTTTTTCTTTCCCTGCCTGTACAAAAACAAGTATATGAGTGTAAGGATAACATGGAGTCATCAGGCAACAGACATATGCTTTCCTGTGCTCTCTGCAGGGCTTGCAGGTTCAAACACAACCTGCCTGAATCATAAGAACTTTAATTGAGTAGATAAAGAGGTCCTCATAATTATAAACTGCAGTAGGTATAACAAGAGGCTAAATACATAGCTGTGGTTTTAATTAGCTGGTGCTTCAAATTAGTAATTGTGGTTTCACTCAGAAATCAGTGACTTTATACACTGTTAAAGCCTCATCACTGTGCAGTTCATTCCTCATTATATCTCTCGGTGTGAAGCTTTCAATACAACATCATGCTGAGCTAAAAAGGCAAAAGTTGTAGATATTTGGTTATCTTCCAAGTGCAGTGGAGCTCTGTGGAGATTTAATTCATTCTCGCCAGAGACAGGAGAATTAACTGTTCTTTGTTACAGCTGTAATATGTATGTTTGTGTGTAAGCATTTGTACACAGAGGCTGTGTGTGGATGTGTGCATGCATGTCCAGCACCTATCAGGGAAATACTGCTTGTTGCAGATAACATCAGGGCATATACCAAATCTGCTATTCAAATTGTCATCTGGAATTTGGTAGCTAATTAGCTGACACAAAGCAGAGCCAAAAGCCTCATAACAAATCAAATACGGGTTGAAAGCACAGAAGTGTCCCTTAATGCTTGTCACATGAGAGGTTGTCAGTGCAAGTTGAAGCATGCATCTTTTCCTTTCCTATTTTTTCCCTCTCCTTCAGGGTTTTAATTATATCTTTTCCCTCAGAGGAGCAGGAGGTAGTTTGTAAAGCCAAAAGACCAAAGTACTTCAGTGCTATTCAGGGGAGAAGTGAATGTGGTCTCTCAGCTTGTCATCTAGGTCTGGCAGGTGCACAAAGTAAGCTGACACACAGATAAGTGCCACTCACCATTGCTACACTGAGATGCTGGATTCTTTTCTGTGTGTTTGTATGTAGAATTTTATCTGATACTGGAATCAACTATCCCAAAGTCTCTTCTGGCAGCCTGCTGCTACAAAACCACTTCGTAACCCCCCCCTTGACACCTACAGTGAAACTGTACATAAATTTTAACAAGAAGTGGTACAGAATTAGGTGGTCTAAACCACACATGGATGACCTGGAGCATTGGGATGGATGTTTAAATGGATTTTTAGCTGTTGCTGTGCTTCCTTGACTTCACATTTGCTTTCTCTGCCCATACACGCTCTGTGGGCACACGAGTGTGTGTGTGTGTGTGTGTGTTCACACTCATGTGTATGAACAGGCTGTTCATACAAAGACATCAAAGTATATTTTATTACTCTGCATAATACTCTGTTAGTTTGAAAAGAATATTTGTCTCTGTTTTCATTTTAGAAGTGTACTGACTGGCCTACTGCCCAATTTTGCATAGTTTTACGATTCCAGGTTTAAATTTGGAAAAATTGTTCAGTGGCTGCTTCTTTCTTTCAGAATTATCCTTGGGAATTGCATTGTTTCTGATGTTTTATGGCTATTACTGATACTTATGAACATGTAACTAAATTATGGAGGAAATAACGTGTTGTCCTTTCTCTCTTTCTCTTCTTCAGTCACTATGAACAAGACCGGAGTGCACTTAAGCGGAAGGAGTGGGAGAGAAGAAACCAGGAAGTCCAGCAAGATGAAGATCTCTTTGCTTCAGGTTTTAACCTCTTTGGGGAACCCTACAAGGTAAGTTGCACTGTTATATTTTGCATTTTCAGAATGGCTTTTACAAATACAGATAAAGCTTCTCTTCACCTGCAAGAAAGGGAAGTATCACATCTGCCTTGGTACTTATACTCTTGAATACACTGATTGTACAGGTCAGCATATGGCAGCAGAGCAAAGTGAATGTGCTGTCCAACTTAGCCTGCTAGCATTGGCAGAATCAGGAATTTTGGTTACAGTCCAGTTCGAGATTCCTTCCTCTAAACAAATAGCAAAGTCCTGCAGTAGAAGTATGTGCAGCTCCTATTTCTATAAGTGGGTTTGTACAAAGCTAGCTATTAGTTCTTTTATTTTTAAGAAGAAAATATACGAGTTGTTAAAACCAATGTCCCCTCTATAAATAATGAGTTCATAAGCTTTTTTGTGCAATCATAACCATCCAAAGAAGTCTTTTGGGAGACTGAATCTTTGGGGAGCATAACAAGGGTATGAAAGGGACTTTTATGACAAGTCTTATTCTCTCTAAGGAGCCTTGCTGCCTGAGATTTTCATCACCAAGGGATGTCCCCCTTTATGATTTCTGCTGCTTTGATTTTCAGTAAGACATTCCCTAAAGAATTCATCAGAATGTAAATTTCCATATCTCTTTCTCCTCCCAATCAGTGACATCCATTGAAAGGCCACCACTTCATCTTTCCATTTTACATTGTTAGCAGCTGTAAGGGAAGATGAGGGCTCTTTGAAAATCACCCAGAAAGGAGGAGAAAAGACTGTCGTTATAATCATATGATGTCTAATAATTATAGACCACGAAAGTGTGGTGGATACACTTGACTCCAAGCTGTACTTTGGTTCAGGCTGACTTGAGGAGCAACAGGCCTTTCGTCCTTGAGGTGAACTTGCCTGCTGGAAACCCCTGGCTGGCGTTCCAGGGAGTGAAGGTGTCTTGAAAAATACTTCAAAAGGCGGTTTTGAAATCCAAAAGTGCAAGGTAACCAAAGCACAGAACAAAATATCAGAGCTAAAATGAAGATGTCTCTCCCTACTCTCTTGACTAGCAGCCAACTTCTTCACCCTATAAATACTGCCATCAGGGTGGGCCCAGTTTGATCTTACCCTGAAGTGCAGCTGGACTGCACACCAGATGACCCTCTGCTTGAGCAGGGATGCCTCTCAAGGGGTAGAGATTCCTTCCTTACCCAAGGCAGGGAGATCCCTTACCCATGACACATACTTGATAACTGACTGATACTATGCTGAATTAATCCTATGAAACATTGCTAGTCCATGTAGCTACTCAATATTATTGTAAATATTATATGAATAATTCCATTAGACTTAAACCATTGACCAAGTCTGAGGCTAAGATTGGATCCAGCCATGCTCAGGGTCCATAAGGAGTTTAGAGAGCAAGAGGTCTATTCTGAGCCTTCTGACTGATGGGAGGGTTCTCCTTAATCTTTGCATCTCTGGTCTCTTGAATTAGAACCATTCTAACTCAATTTGCCTTTGTAGGTTTCTTCCATGCAACAATTAAGAAGGTGAACCTTGGCATAAAACTTACTGCTGGCAATAAGTTTTAATGTCAAACCACTGTTAAACTTTGTTGAATTCCGTTGAATTTATCAACCTCTGTCAAATTATTTTACCTCAATAAAACACGTTGCTGCTTCTCTCTTTTGAGTGAGGTGCATTCCACTCATCCATGACAGACATATTCAGCCAAATAAGGACTATGCACCAGGATAGCTTGTTTGTGGGGTCTTTTTGGTTTTGTTTTTATAAAAATCTGATAAAGGCACTATTTCTGCTTTGTACTGCATTTTAGCTTCTTTATGGGAATAATAACTTACTATGAACTGATTTTGTTGAGACTTCCTACATGTCAGGGGCATATTTTCATTCATGCAAGTGGTCATTTGAATTTTAGTAGATAGACCAGTTTGCAAAACACTGCAAAATTTTGTGTCAGGAACCAAAAACACGCAACACCAATATCTGTTGTACTTCTTTCTTTTATTCCCAGATTTAGTGTCCTTACTTGTTTATCATGCCTTCCTCATTTGCTTCAACAGTATCTAGAGAAGGGACAGTTAGGGTAGGGAATACCACCACTGCTCGTTTTGATGTTTTAAAGACTGAACAACTGGCAGCTGTTTTTTGGGTTGCAGTAGGGTTGGGGATATTAAAAGTTGCTTGAAGAAAAGAGCTCAGGTTTTCTCATGGAGTTTGCTGCCACTGTGCATCACAAGATGTGTGGATTATCTGCCTTCATCTATCATCTCTCTGCTGTTACAGCGTCTTTCTTTCCCTCTGTCAAATAAAACGTAGGTGTTCATTATAGTTTTGGACAAGTGCGTGTTTCTACATTGCTTCTTTGTAGTTTGTGTGTGTGCACTCACATGAAAAGAGATATTTACTTCTGTGGGTGTACAAAATACATTTGTGCACGCTTGTTAAAAGATAAATGCCTCCTTTAGAAGCTCCGCTGTCTCATGCGGGGAAACAACACCTCTGACAACGTGATGACATCCAGCATTATTTTGGGAAGGTCAGGCAGCGAGGGCTGTGTTGCTCTTTAATGCAAGTGGGTTGCAGGTCCTGCCTCCGAGCTCTGGTGCAACCTGCTCGTGCTTGATTTTGCAGAAGGGATCAGAGAAGGGCCTGCAGTGTTGTGGCAACAGACACTTGAAAAGGCAATGCTGGAGTTTTCCTGAGAGAAACTGTAATTTTACTACTGAATTGTTGATACCTTTTAATGTTTTGAATTAGTAAAGAGTTTCAGAGATGAGTATTTTAAAAGAAAACAGTAGGAGCATTTTTGTTACTTTTCAAAGGAATTGCCTCAGAAGAGTTCAACTTGAGAAAGAGAACCCAATGGGCAGCATTTCCATTGTGGAGCCTTTGGTGAATGTTAAATCATTTATCTTTTTTCAGGTAAAGCCCCTCCATGCTTTTCAAGCTTAGCATAAAAAAGATCTCAGCTTCTAATCCGTGGAGGTTAGTTTAACTATGAGGCATAAGAAAGTGAATGAATTATGAAACCTCAAGTTTCATACAAATTTTCACAAAACCCTTGTAAATTGGACCTGTAAGTTTGAGTGCATTAGTTCTTTTCTTTGTAAAACTATAATGCAATAGCTAGCTAGCAAATTAGTCTTCCAGTAGGATTCTGTACAGATAGTTTTTGAAAGAAATAGGAGCAAATGCAGGAAGGTGTACATTTCCTAAACTAACAGGAGCCTAGAATGAGGGGGAAGGCTAGTAACCATGATTCATAAACTAGGCATATAATTTATGCCTTGGAATACTCAGAATGCTGCATTTCCTTGATAGAAACAAAATTGTGCTTTAACATGCTGTTCAGAAAACAAGATGTACAGGGGTTTCCTTTAAGAAATCAGCCAATTATCCGGAATATGAAGGTAGAAATTGCCCCTAATCTGGAAGTAACAAAGAGCAACCAGAAATTATGACTGGATTTTGTGTTTCTCTTGCTGGTATCCAGGTTTGTCAATAATACTGTGCTGCTCATGAGAGCCCTGAATTTGTTGTGGAAATAAAGTAAAAACATTAATGTTATCCCTTATGTCTTAAATACAGATAGTGCAGTGCACTACATCCCTGAGCTCGTTCAGATTGTGAAGCACAAATCTGATGTTGGTTCTGTGTGCTCTAGTTTTATTTAGGTGTAAACCAAATTACCACTCACATTCATAATGTGTTGTTTTGCTTTGCAGTCTGGTCCAAAGGCCACTGAAGAGAGTACTTATCCTTCCATTGACTTCAGTAACCATTGAATATGAGCTTTAGTGCACTTAAAATATGCTAAGGATGTTAAAAATAATTTAATCTCCATGGCTTTCAGTAAATATATTTATTAATGTTCCCAGTAAATGACTACAAATAATAATAATACCTAATATTTCTATAGTGTCTTTTATTCCCAGGATGTGAACATTGTGCATAAAATAGAATTAATATCAGGTAAAATTATATTTATCATTATGTGACACGTAAAAGAAAATAAGTTGAGAAAATCAGATACCTCCAATACAAAATAATTGAAAAGATCTACATTGAAATTAAAATATTGATTCCCTCTGAGAGGATCTACACAAGCACCATTTAATGTGCTGTGATGTTGAAGTGTTTCAGTGATGATATGTTGTCAGTATTTTTTTTTTTTTTTAACTTCTGCCTTCTGGAAAATAAGCTAAATGCACCCTGGAAATGTAGCTGAACCACAGAGGGGAAGGTTGGTGGTCAGGCTTTTCTCAGTACTGTTACTTCCCATGTGCTATCCCATAAGGAGTTAAAGTGTTTGGAGAAGGAGGAAACAGAACAAGTATGTAAGTGTTTAGACTTCGAATCATAATTCCTGCTGGGCCCTTAAGCACAATGGAATCTCCTTGTTTTAAATTTGGGGGTTGAACAGAAAGAGCCTGGTTTTGGCTGCTGCCCAAACAACTCATTGTGCAACTCAGTTGAAGGAGACTGCTCATATACAAAGAGCTTATTCTTGGCTTAGCTAGAATATAATTTTTGCCACTAAAATGACCAACCTAGGGACTTAGTTAGTGAATAAAAGTGATTCGTGGTTCTCCACAACTGGGATTATTAACTGTGTCAGTTAGGAGCACTGGCAAAATATATATAGATGAGAACAACATTGAACAGTTAATTTTTAAATCACTGCCTCAGTGCAGTGGTAATATATGTTAGAATCCCTTAGGATGAGCAAAAGCAAATTTGCATTTATTATCTTCTTTTTAAACATTTTTTATGGCATGTGCAGTACTAAGGAAAAAAAAAATCTTTCTGCAGTATTCTTCTCATCTTCTGACTTGTTCAGCAGTGGGTAATATAAGCAGATATTTCAGGAGAAGTGCACGCATGAATTTTTTTCATCTCTCAAACTTCTGCTTAATACTTGAGGAAAATAGGATCAGGGGCATGATAGGATCCCTTGTTGAGGAGTCTGACACTCCCTAACCAAGCACAAACTCATAGTGCTGCCTTTCCTCATCTTTATGGCCTGGTGTTAAGGTGCTGGTGGACTGTGGCACTATTTGCTTTATTGAGTGAAAAAAAAAAACAACCAAGCATAAGTAGAAGTATAGTTGACTGTATCATGACATAGCTTTGACATTTAATTCCAGACTGTAGAAGTTAACCATCTGCCTAAACAGGAACTATAGTTTTTCTTTGTTTTTATCCTTTGAGTCTTGTAAAGTAATAAGCATAGGGAATAAGATGTTTTAGTTCTCTGCTGGTCATTTCAATGGAACAGAAAGGTCAGTGAGAAGGCTGGTGCTTTGGGTCTCTGTGGGGTGAGTTAGAACAGGAAGAGAGAGGAAATTAATTATAGCTTCCAGCTTATTTGTCCATCTTTTTACAAGTGAAAGGGAAAAGGAAAAAGAAACTTTATACTTCAAAAGAAAAAGTATAATAGCAGTGAAACACAGATGAGTCAGTATTTATTTAATAATTACTGGAAATAAAAAAAAAAGCAGGATTAAAAAATACAACCAGACTGCAGACAGCGGAAGAATCCCAATGCTTAAGAATGTGGCAATCATGTCTGTTTATGTTCTGTGAGAAAATATTTTTGAATTATCTTTTTATTTGAAGCTACCGTAGCATTTGAGTGGGTAGAAGCTTTTTCTTTCCGGATTCAGATGGTAGATACTTCAGGTCAAACTGAACCTTCTATGGAAAAGTAATTGGAGTTAAACTGGAGTGAAGAGTTTGGCACTGTTACAGGCTACCCAGCTTCTATTTATGGCAGGACTGTGGGTCAAGGGGCTGATAGAGCAATAACATACTTAAATAAACTGTGTGATTGCAATTCCAATGCTCAGTAGCCAGTAATTGCACGTTCGTGTTTTGCACGATATGGAATGTACAAGCCCAACATCTCTGACATAAACCCAGCTTATTTTGAGCCTAACATCCATAACTGATGCAATTTAAACACTTCTCTGAGAGCATATTTAAGAAAATGGGAAGCAGTATACAAGTGTTACTGATGCAAGCCTGTTTCAAGAGATTCTTTGAACACAGTTATTGATAGGTTTTTCTTACATAACATATGCAAAATGTAATTGAAATTTAATTAAATGTCAGCATGACACCATTAAACAGCTAACATTTGCCATCTTCTAAGACAACTATTCTGAGCAGTAACTTGTAAATCAGGAATTTACTCACGCTTTTCTTGTCTCTTTTTTTTTTTGATATTTTAGACAAATAAAGGCGACGCCCTTGCAAACCGTGTCCAGAACACATTGGGAAATTATGATGAGATGAAGGATCTGTTAACCAACCACTCCAACCAGAGCCACCTTGTAGGAATCCCAAAGAATTCTGTCCCACAGACACCCATTGACAAAAATGAACAGAACTTTTTTCCAGAACCGAGAAACAGGATGATCCCATCTCATCAGATCAGCGGCAATTCATCGACATCAATGCCTCCTCCTTCTTCATTGTCATCAAATTCTGCTTTGCTACACAGTCACCAGAGCAGCAGGAAGTCGAGGACAGACTGGTCACGTGGTGGTCACAACTCTAGTGGGGCCCAGCCAAGCCAATCCAGCGGTCAGCAGAGTCGGACAAAGCATAGCTCTTCCCATGACCAGTCACAGGGCAGGTATGAAGACCTCTATAACTGTCAGAGTGAGCAGCATAAAAGTGGAGGGACTGAGGATGCAAATTCTATGGCAGCATCTTCACATTCGAGGAGGCATGCTCATGCAAAGTCAGCACCTGGCGAGCACTCTTACAAAGAAAACAGTCATTCCAAGTCGCCCACCGAGCTGGAGTTTGTAGGCCATGGTCCTGGCTCTCCGCTTCCTTCCACTTCTTTGTTAACTGCAAACAATGGTCTTTCGACTCAGAATTTCCCACCAGGACTTCACTGTAAAAACAGCATGGTCCAGCAAAAGCCTACAGCATATGTCAGGCCTATGGACGGTCAGGACCAGGTACCCAATGACTCACCTGAACTGAAACCCCCACTAGAAATTGAGAGTGGATATGGAAATCAGTCCTTTGGAACACTGCTGGAAGGAAAAGTGAACACACCTAGTTCGAAGAACAAAGTACCAAAGCTCAACATTCCTCCTGTTAGTGAAGTAAGTGGTTTAAAATATCTTCTCTCTAGTACTGCTTGAATATTTCATTCACTAAATATTTTTCTCTGGAAATATGAAGTTGCATTTCCTGGAATTACAGTGTAAAACATTCCTTCTTCTGGAATGTGCATGACTTCTTTCAGCAGTTTGTTGTGATAGTCCCAGTAGCAATATTTAATGTGGTTTTTAAAGCAGTTTGGAATACTGACATTGCTTGTTTATGATTAATATTAAAAGGCTACATCTCTGTTGGGTATAATATACGTATACCAGCTATACCAGTTCTGGACAGGGAACTCTAATATCTCAGTTCATCTGCAATTTTCACTCTTGCATTCTCAGGTAGGAGGTAGTTTGACAGACAGATTGCTGTTTTAAACTCTAAGGAAAACCAGCAGTATTCAAATTTCAGTGGTGCTAAACAGTCCTACCAGTAAGGATTTTATTTGCAGAGTTTGCTAAATTTCTATTGCTTTTAATGGAATTAATGTGACTTAAGTTCTGAATAATGCTTATGAAAATGTGTCCCATTGAAGCTCTTATGCATTTTGAGGAGCCCTTACTACTGGGATTCAGTCCCAATCTCTGCAACCAGTAGTTTGAGCTGTTGAATTCTGCATTGCTGGTCAGTACAGTAGCCCTGTGAGGAGCATTTTAGTTGGTTCATATTTGTGTCTATTCCAAACAAAAATGTATAATAAGGATACTATTCATACTCTGAATACTTTTCCTTTTATTCTGAGTTTCTCCAAAACAGTAACCTTTGCAAGGTAGGTGTACAGTGTGCTTATGAGCAGAATTGCAAGATGGCTTTTTCATAGCTTTCTGTTTTCCCCACAATATTTCCCTGCTTGGTAATATTTTTATACTGGGAATGAGGAGCGATGCATTCTTAAACCACTTTATTGCAAAAGGTCGGCTTTTTCTGTTGGAATAATTGTTTCAAGCCAATAATTTGTTTGACTATTTAAAAACTTGATGTTATTTATTAACATTCCAGGCAGCAACAAAGACTGATGTGTTTTGCAGTAGAGCTTGGAATAATTTTCTGGGAACTGCATCTGAAAACAGTAAAAGGCCTATTTATATCAAGTGGAAGCTGAGGGTTGCTTGCAGATGGTGTTTTATTAGAAAATGTATTTGTTAATAAACGTAGCTTTCTGCAAGATTACTTTACAGATGTTTCTGTTTATTTTTACCTTGGGTTAAAAATCTGCTGGTATAGATGGCTTCAGAGCCTGTTGTGATTTGTCACTAGCATTGTTTGGCGAGAAAATAATTACATGCAAAGGAAATAATGATGTTGCAAAAGCAAATACTTTTTTTCTCTCTCACAATCTATTAACACTATGAGTCAATAGAGGCACTTCAAAGTGCGGCATTAATACAGCGTATTTTTGGAAATAAAATGTACCTTTTGCAATTTGTGTCAACGCTTAAGAATGCATTTTTAATTTTTTTAAATTTCTGAGTGAAATCCTGGCACTATGAAATCAATTGAGTTGTTAGCAATGTTTTTTTGGGTGCAAGATTTCACTCTCGGCCTTTTTGCACAGCTCTAAGAACCTCTGATGTGAACTGTTGTTTTTGGACATACTCCTGGTTGCACAGATGAAAAATTACATTATGAGTATGTTGCAACTTCAGTTTATATCCTGCGTGGTGAAAAGTATAGGTGTATAATTAATTTCATTTGCGTTCAGATAAATGTTAAACTGTAGGCACTTTAGAAATGAGCGTAGATAATAACGCTGAAGCAGCCTGCGTTGTGAGAGCGAACAATAATTTGAAGAAGGAAAGAAAACTCAAAGCTGTGACAAAATAACTTTCCTTTCTGAGGCAGAACATAGGACAATAGCCAGACTGATGGATCTTTTTCAGGCAAATCTCCTCCTGAGTTTGGAGGGTTGGATTTTTTTTTCGCCTGTGTCAGGACTGTGAACTTTGGCCCTCTGTGTTTTTCCACAGATGTGTATCCTGAATTTGATTTACCTTGCGTTCAGCAATAAAACTCCTTCCAATCCAACATTATAGATAACTGGTTTAGTTTAAGCTTAATCAGAACTGACAGTGCACACCTGTGAAACCCATAACCTTTTCAGAATGACTGCAGCGAGTGGCTCTGTTGTAATCTTTATACAATTGATGTGGAGGCTTATGATCCTTTGGTGGTGCTTATCAATTTATGAACCTTCCCTAGCCACCTTGAGCCATAGTGATCTGCTTGAAACAATTTTGTTCCTGCTCCACAGATTTCCATCTTAACTGTTCCAGGTGGTGGTGGTGATCTTCTTCAAGCTAGGAATAGGAGAGTTACTTTTTTTGGGCCATTCCACTATAATTTGTACTGTGGCTTTCCTGTATCTCTGAGTCCATCTTTTCAAGTTGCTGAGTGCATTCATAGAGATTGCACACCAAACAGTTTTCAGTGATTTCCCTCAGAATTTTGCTTGCTCTTAAGATGAGGAATTATGTGAAGAAATAAGATGCCCAGGTGATGGTCCTGAAACAATGGCACCCATTAGGACATGCAAACTTGGGAAAGAGAAAGACAGTTCTCGCTATCTTTAGGAGGGGGAGGGGAATAAGTAACCAAATATTTGAACTAGTAGGTTTAAAAGAAGTGCTCAGACTGATGTGGAAATATGGTCTCATTTATCATGGCTTAATGGAATAGGATGTTGAGTGCCCTGGAAGCATTCTGCCATGTGTAAGGAAGTGATCAATTTTACAACATAATTTGTGTCACTTGAGGTGTTGCTCTAAGAATCTTTGCTCATTCTCTGGGCCCAATTCTGCCCTCAGAGTTGCCCATCCATCTTTCAGCTCCTCTGGAGGAGACAACATTGTTAATGCCTCGCTGCTGGCGTGTCTCCGCTCTGCGATGGATTGTGGTTTAGTGCTTCCTGGGTTTGTAGACATTCACAGTAAGTTCACACACACTCACCAGATTGGGTCAGGATGTAGAGTTAGCAGCTCTTACACACCTGTGGACTAATCCTTGCCTGTGAGTGGATGCTGTTGTGTGATTTCCAGACCTTGATTCACCCACACAGAGCTAGTTCAGACCTGACTGTACCATGCGTGGCTGTTTCTGGTAGAGAAACAGAAATAGCAAAGCCTCTGTAGACTTTTAGTTATTTCTCTAAAGGATTTCTTTGTGATTTTGTGATCCTTTTAACCTTTTCATTTGTTTTTCATACCAGTACTGTTTGCTAAGGGTGAAAGTAAAACATTTCATGGCTTGGTGCCTTGAGCAGCACCCAGTGTAACCACTAGTGCCCAGGCCCAGCAGCCTCTGAGGTTCCCAAGTTGTGAAGCAGATCCTTCTGAACTGGGGAGCCCCAGGGCTGTCATGTGAGTTCAGGGGGACATGCAGAAATGCCTACAGATCTCATGACATAACATAGAGTTGATAACAATGGCTGTGGAGCTAAAACTGATAGAGAAATGATAAAAAACCTTAAGCTGTAAACATTATTTCCTGCTTCTTATTAACTCTCATCTCTTCAGTGTGTATTTACATGCATACTTACATACACATACATATATTAATTTTGAGCTTGCATTTAACATTTGGTAAATTGTGGCAAGCCTGGAATATCACAAAGAGCTTTTGTGTTATGTAGAATTCCACCTACTTAAATTGTATGATGGCAGATGATTGTTACTTGCCACTTGAAGAGAACTCCGCAGTTAAATCCTATGCATTTCTTCAAAAAAGTAGAGGTTAGAGACCACAATAACAGCTGATCCTCTCTCTGCTGCTTTAAAATCCAGAATCTTGATACATGTATGTATATTTAAACCTCTGGGAATCAGATGCTTACAAATTATTTCAAATCGCCTAACGCAGCAGGGGATGGCTGAAGGAAAGCCTGTACTTTGCAGATTGGGCTCGAACACAAATTACTGAGAGTACTGAGTAAAGCAAAGGGTTTTAAGGTCTGTGGGAATGTCAGAAGCTGCGTTCCTGGAAAACCTTATGCACAGTTCCCCCGAACAAGGCATGGATTTCCAATAAATGTTTAGGGGTGGGGAATCAAGAGCAATTGAGATAATTTTTGATTCTCAAGGCAGAGTTTTTAAATCTCACCACAGAATCGGCTTCCTGTTTCTACGAAGTAGCAAATGCTCATGTACCAAATTTTCCCGAAAGTACAAAGCTAGGAACAAATCCAGAAGGCCTACGACATCTATGTCACCACCCACTTAAGTAATAAAAAATGGAGAACTTCTATTTTCACTTTACTTCTAGGAAAATATTTTGACGGGTTCAGTATACTGCGAAGTGATAAGCTTCTGTTACGTGCTTCAAATCATTCTGTTATCGCTGCATGTATTGATTAGCTTAGTGCTTTCTGAGCTAGCTATAAAAAAAACTGCTCTCTTTCTGCATTAAAGAGCAAGAAAAATTGACAGGTAGATAACCATATTGATTGAACCTAAATAGTAAATGCAAGAGGCTTATATATGACTTCTAAAACTCTTTATAGGAACCAAAGCCAGTATAATATGGGGGTTTTTTTTAATTAAATGGAAAGTAGATGCCTTTAATTAACCAGCCCCACCCCTTTTTGATATACATGTTACTTTAGTTGCCAACTGTAGTACATTACCACAGTTGTGGGCAAATCACTTTTTTCAAATGCCAGCTTTAGCTTGTCCCCCAGACACTTGGAGCTTGGAAGAAGAATGGGCTGAATCACACATTAAGCTGAAATCCCTTTGCTTGGTTCATGTTTCAAAAGTCTGAGGCCAGAAACAAACCCAAAGAGCAGTATTTCTTGCAGTATTAGAGGTTACAGCCATATGTTTTTAATTTGTAAATACTGTGAGAAGTAATGTTCTTGTGATATTTCTAAATGAAGACCATATGACACCACTCGACTGAAGACCTCTTATTGTGGCCTTTTGAAGGCTACTGTCCGATGGCCTGGACAATGGCTAGCAAAGCTATTTTCCAGGGATAGCAAGAGGACAGCTTGTCTATTTTAAAT